ACTTGCTCTATCATCGAGAAGACTTCGGAGTTCCGGCTGAGTGGCATTACTTTGCCACGGCACACGGCAAAGGCCCTAGTGACGGTTTAGGAGGTACCTTGAAAAGGTTGGCAACGAGAGCCAGTCTACAGGGTACAACTATACAATCGCCAAAAGAGTTATACGAATGGGCACTGTCAAATTGCAATTTGAATGTACAATTTGTGACATCGGAGCAATGCAATACGAATAAGCAGGATTTAGAAGCCCGATTCGCTCTAGCACGACCCATTCCTGGAATTCGCGGAATGCATTGTGCCACCCCTATCGGCGAAGATACTGTTCTTATGAAAACGATTTCTTGTTCAGAAACGGGTTCATGTTTCAAAGTAATTTCAAAAAAGCGTTCAAATTCACTACCCAAATCTAAGGCAAAACGTAAGAAGTAATTACTCACGCTACTCAATGTATTAGATGATATTTGTTCAATAAATGATAGCAATAAGTAGGATAGAAACACGGCTGCTTTAATTTAGAATCAAATTAGTTTTTGAATATTTCAAAAGCTTATTTAAAATAATCAGTAAATAAAGAAACACAAAACGAATGGATCTGCCTAAAATACCATGTAATACGAAACACATTTCCGAACGCAAGAAAATAAAGTGTTGGAAATAAGAAAAATTATCAATCTAAATTTAAGTTTGCAACGCTGGCAACACTGTCTAAACAAATCTGGTTTAATATTATCTGAGCATTTGATTGTATAAAATGAAAAAAAAGGATCAGATCCTCAACTAACTTACAGGTTTCATCGTTTCTATCAACTTTCAGGATTGTCCAACGTTTCATATTGAAGGGTTGTACAGTAGGGTGCTTCATTCTGAAAAAAGTGATGAATTTCTGATGGGCCACCCTCCAGTTCGATTCATAGCCCCAAAATATGAACCTGTGCAAAATTTGGTAAAGATTGATGAAGGTTTAGAGGTCGCGCCAATGATTTGAAATTTGTATGGGAATTACTATGGAAGAATTTAAAAAATCGCTTATATCGCTATAACTTTGCTTCTACTTGTCCAAATGTCGAAAAAATTTAGTATGTTATTGCTATGGCAATAAACAAAAAGCCTACAGTTGCTACGCTCAGTTTTGCAGCGTATCAAGAATTATAAAAATGTGAAAAAATGGCAAAATAGGGTAAATTGACAGATGAATATGTACAAGGCAACAACGCCAATTTCATCGCAACAACAACAGGCTTGTTGATCATTGTCATGACAACCACATATTTTTTTTTTTTCAACGTTTGGACAACTACAACCAAAGTTAGAGCAATGTAAACGAAAATCAATAATTTCCCATACTAATTCACCAAAATCTCCATACAAAATCCAAATCATTGGCGCGACCTCTAAACCTTCATCAATCTTTACCATTTTTGCACAGGTTCATATTTTGGGGCTATGAATCGAACTGGAGGGTGGCCTATCAAAAATTCATCACTTTTTTCAAAATGAAACACCCTATTGTACAGTAATGGAACTTTTTAAAAACATTAAATCTTTAAAAATCCATATCTCTCAAACGAAAAAAGTCTTTTTTGGTGGTTAGGTGATTCTTATGTAAAAATGTCTGCCGAACATTTTGGTGCTATCAAAATTAGAAAAAAGTGGGGGCATTTTGAGATATTTGCATTTTAAGTTTGAAATTGCAAAAAATCGACAAGTTGACAACACTGCATACAAATTCTGAGTACGCCATTCTATTGTACGTTAAAAATCCTTTAAAATGAGTGCCCAATCTTGTCTGTAGCATAATTTGGTCCAGAGATATGTTCAAAAGAAAAATGGTGTTTCTTGAAGATCGGAAAAAAGTGGGGGCAGTCTCCAGAACCCGGGGGTGAGTCGATGGGTACAAAACGTTGGATTTTTGATTGTTGGCCTAAAATAAGTCGTTCCACCAAGTTTGGTTCAAATCGGAGAGGGTCGATGCAACTGACTCGGTCACTTGAGATGGAATGACCCATATTTGTTTGTGTTTAACTTTGTACATCAGCGCGAGTACTGAATGGTTAATATTCATGTTAGTATAGACAACGAAGTGAAGACACATTTTCTTTATCCGATATCCCTACAATTTCCTCTAATTCTCATTTGTATCAAATTCATTTTTTTCTGAAACATTTTTTTTAGATTAAATTTCTTATCTATCACAATTATGTATTAAAACCTATTCATCCAGATAGCATTTGGCCTAGTGACCAATAATTCCTAGGTCTTTGAAATCATAAGATTTATCGAGTGATAGAAATTGATTTTTCAAAGTATCTCGTAATATCAATGATTTGTTTTTAATTACATTAAGTGACTCATAGAGTTGAAATTATACTTTCAACTCTAAAAAAATACTTTCTGTAATTCTGCTTTTACATTTCCCACAGATAACCTCCGAAAATTTACAGTTAGACACGTTTTTAAAAATGCGTACAGTTCGTTTTTAGTTGAATATTAACAACCGGGTTATTTTTAAGATTTGAACCGGGAAAACCGGGAAAAACCAGGAACTCACTGGCCATCCTGGTTATAGAATTTGTGTATACGATTGCGCAACTTTTTCATTTTCGTTTTACCGCCATCTAGTGAGTCAATTCTGTCATACGCTATCCATAGTTTTGAAGACCTTGTACTTCTGAATATCTTTGCACAATGGAGCATCATCCTATTTGGTTGTGATCTCAAAATATGCCACTTCAAAAAATCGAATAGACTAAACGTTGAATGGTGCCAAAGGTCGAATGATCCAAAGAGAGACAAAAGGTCGATTAATTAGAAAAGAGACAAAAGTCAAATGGTCCGGTAAAATTTTACCAACTTCGGTGATCTGAATTCAGTGTTTACACAATTAGCAGACATGCCTGTAAATCTCTGCGATATACTATATAGCGCAAATTTATCCGATATTTCAAGTAAATTTAAGCGCATATATACAGGTTCGCTGTTAATGTCAAACACAAAATTTTCTCAATATTAAAAGCTTCTGCAGCATCCCTAGAAAACTGCAATTGCCTCCACTCGATAAATCTGCAAACAAACATTCTCCTAAAAATTCTCCACTCACCGTACAACGAAAACTTCTCCGATAACCCCCGACTTCTTTGCCTACTGGTCCTAACCCACCCAAAGACTATAACACAAAACCGAAACGCTTGCGGTTCTCTCCAAATCCCTGCACCCCGCTTCCATTTGCTCCCCCAGATTCCAGTGCCACATTGGACCGGCGAGAACTCATCTGTTTTGTTTGGTAAAACTCCGGTCTTCCTAAATCTTTCCTCCCTTTTGAAATTGTACCCGGTATTTCTGCATTCGAGAAGCAGGGGCTCACTCGTTTTACCAAAAACAACAGTCGGTGGCAAGGATGCACGCAGTTGGGAAAACGATACTGCTTGCTTGATACTGAGACGATAATCGTATTTCCGAGTTTCCTAAAGCTTTGAAGCAATTTCAAGCGATTTTTCCTTGTTGGACATTTTAGAAACTAGGATCCCAGATTTGCATCAAATTGAATTTCTATAATTATATTAGTACCTCGTTCGGTTGGATTGTTACACTTTCATCATGTGTTTAAATGAACACCAATTTGCACTTGTTTTTGAAACCAATAATCAACAAATCTTATTTTCCCCTCTGATGACTGTGATGATTCGATTTATCGTAATATTTTAGCACAAATTGGTTATCAGAAATCAACCATCAGTTTGGATTCCAATTTCATACTTTTAATATCATTCACAATTCGTATCAAACTGGTGCAAAATTATTTTAGTGTCGTGGCAACTTTTTTATAGCAACACTCTCCCCATATCGGATAAAATCCACCAGCCAAAGGCAGCCGACCACTGACAGGTGATTGATAAATACGTTCCCTCTCGATTGCCGCTATCATCATCGTCGTCGCCGTCGACGTCGCAGTCGGTCGGAGGAGCAATGAAAAGCAATTAAAATGTTTAATAATTCATAATCGAATGGACATGGGGTCTGATCCGAGCCATCATACCCCGGACGGACCAACGCATCTCCGATTAACGAGGGAAAATGAGTTAATTTCAATTTCATGGCTGGTTCTGTTCCTGACCTAGCCCAACAAAGGTTGACAGGTCGCAGTGTAGCCGTCAGTGTAGCATCAGCGGTGGTTGGATTTTAATTTTGTTAAACTTGGAACCAGCCCCGACAATGGCAGACGAGCACACGCTTATCACATGGTGCATTATTTCCACAGGTTTTCCATTGCTTTTCAGCAATCAGCTGGCTGATGTGAGATTCAGTAAAAATGCACGTTGATCCCGATTTCCGACCTCGTAAATTGGCTTTTTAATCAAGTTGATGTTGATGTATGAAATTAAAAAATAACATTTATTATTGATCAGGTGGTCATCCGGTCGGGAACTTTCTGTCTCTTGTGTATTTCGGAATCAACTGATTCTTCATTATCAGGATAATGGGAAATCAAATGAAATGTTGAAAGGTAACAGGTTTTCATCCACAGTTTTTTCTCGATTTTTTCATGTTATCGTAGAATTAGTTTACTTAAAAACCATGAATTTCTCAAAAGTATTGATTAGAAATTTATTAGAACAACCTTTGTTTGTTGTTTTGAATGATTTGTATTTTGAAAATAATGAGCCAATCTTTTTGTTTTTCATAAAAATTATTTCATAAGAGCTGGCAAATACCATGGCTGTTATTACAGAATGAGAAAACTAGTATTCTCACTATCATGAGACGAAACCACCTATCATGAGCTTTTGCACCCACTCATGAGATTAATTATCATATGGCTTTAACGACACAAGCTCTAGCCGATTTAGATGATTTTATGCAATCAACTGTATCTAATCGATGTAGTGATTATAGTATTACAATAACCGCGGCACAAGTAATAGTTATGTCAATAAATGAGCTTGTAGTTGCAATTTTCACAACACTGTCACGTTCTGTACGCTGTTTTCATCCGATGTAAGTGACTGAAGCATCTCTGTAAAAACCGTGTGAGATCTTTTAGCTGAAAATGACATTTTCAGCCGGCTCTTGCCATTCCCTAGTCTATTTCATTAAAAATAATACTTCCGTTCCATGACTAGAATCGATTCGCCGCACAACCTCACCTAACAATTGAACCAATCCCTTCGCACGTCGCCTTCTCGCCGCACAACCCGGTTCATGTTATCAAGCTCGTAATACTTCATCCCACTGAACAGAAATCGCCTGCCCTCCGTCGTCGTCACGGCTGCATCCACTCGCGATGGCAACCCGACGAAATCTCCCACCGGTTTAGGATAATCCACCTCAACCGGTTTAGGATTTCTTGTGTCGTAGAACCAGTAGTGTGACCCTTGGAATGCGAAGAATCCATACGACTTGACAGCCAAAATTGCATCCAAACCGCTGGGAATATCCGGAAATCCCCTGCTGATGGGTCGTGGGTAGGAATCTTCCAGGCGACGTTTATCGTACTTCCAGTATTGATCGTCTTTGTAGAAGTAGGTTTTCTGATCGAGATAGGTGATGGCAGCATTCACTTTCTGAGGGAGCCCGGGCCACTTGGCTGAGATTTTCCTCGGTGGTGGGTTAGTTTCGTTTAGATTGTAGTAGAATTGACCTGCTAGAACGCAGATATTGCCTCGGTGATCCAGAACGAAGGTGTCGTAGGACGATAGTGAGCAGAGCAGTGTTTTCGTTCGTGGTTTAGTGGTTCGAGGTGTTGGACGGGTTGTAGTGCCGGTAGGTGCACTTTGCGTTGTTGAGGGTGTTGCTGAACGGACTCCGTACAGTTTTTGGATTGCCTAAGATGAAAGAAAAGTTATATTCAATACCACTATTGAACTCACTTGAGATAAAATATCTCACCTGAATATCTTCCGGCTGCGGCTCAAATAGCAAATTACCAATAAGTTGTGCAAGGAACATGACCGACTGTCTCGAAGTGGAATGCGGCAATCCCAGCGAGTGTCCAATTTCGTGCACTGCCGTATTGTGAAATTCCTCCAATGACGTTTCACCAGTGAAAAAATATTTTGCGTTGAAGTGGACATCCCCAAGCTCTGGGAAAAACGCATGAGCAAGCGTATTTTCGTGGCTGTATTGACACGGTATGCCTCTACGGTAGTGATTCATCCCAGCGAAGGAAAGCTGAATGTCCGTCTGAGCTGTGCTTGGTCTTTCCACAAAGTCCAAATTCGTAACTCGGCTCCATGAATCGAATGCTTTGCGAATGATAGATCTAACCGTTCCTTCGGGCACTCCGATCGGGTAGTTTGTGATGGCGTAGGTCAGCGACGATTTGCTCCATTTCGGAAGCGCCGTTAGATCATGCGTGGAATTGGTTCCATCCAAATCCTTCGGATAATGCGCTTCATCGTGGAAGAGGCGCTCTTTGACGATTGCAGCTCCTCCAATCTGACTGGAAAACACAAACACTACTACAACTAGACACCCAACGACGGAGCGGATCATTTCGACGACCGAACACTGACTGGACAGTGGCTAGACTGGCCAGTCAACGTTGTCAGGCAACATTTTAAAGACCGTTAATGTTATGCGGTGTGAAGCACACACCACACTCGTTGATTACTCATCATCTGTGGTGATCGTCTGGGATGGCAATCGAAAGAGGTGTGGAGTAACAAGTAGCTGAAGACTAATGAAGGAAATATCCAAGGGATTGTGCTTAGTCATAGTTTAATGATCCCTAATGTTAGGGTTAGCCTGTCGAGCATCGGCCTAAGTTGATATGCTACAAGCCACGGCAATCACTACATCAACCCTAGCAGCATTTATGCTGAACCAATCGGCCCGAATAGACGATTCAAGCAGCTGAAAGATAAGATAGACTCTATGGTACATTCGTTGGAACTTGAATGAAATCGCTGCAGGCAGACTTCAGTGCAGTGAGTAATTTAGACGTCATGGCAACGAGCATAGTTAAATTGGATTTCCCTATATGGCTAATCACTCATGACGTTGAAGGAAAGTCTGAACTGAATGTGGGTCTTACGAAAATTGAATGTTCGAACTAAATTAATACATTTTCTACGGAAAAGGCGAGGGAACTGGGGACTCTCCCCAGACACCAGCGATACCAAGAGAAACGAGAGGAGATCCCATGAAGAAAGCAAGGCAGGTGGGATCCCGTTACCGAAAGCAGTCAGGGGCTGTTCTTAATCTACGTAGACCGATTTTTAGAGGTTTTAGAGCACCCCCCCCCCCCCCCCACATGGCCATTTGCGACGAATCTTTTCAGTGTAGCATTTTGATGTCTTCTAAAATGTTTCTTCAATTTTAAAATACTTTATTGCACTGGTGAAATTTTTTGCTCAAGGAGGCTATACACTAATTTCAAAAAATAACTTTTTTATGTCTGGTTAAAATTGATGATCCCCTATCAAATCATTATAGATGAAGTCATTTTAAGCAACTTTGTCGAAGACGTCAATTTTCCATCTCTCAAGAGGACGAAGTTATAGGGTGAAAATGAAGTACAAACGGTAGTACCCCCTTAAAAACCGTTTTTTTACCATAACTTTTTAGTTTGAATTTTCATTTTTTTCAATGTTCTACAAAGTTGTAAGTGCTCTGAAATGCACTGTGCTACAAAATACAAATTTCTATCTGTTTGGTTTAAGGATTTAAATCCATTGTTATAATTTTTTAATTTTCTTAAAAAGTACCTTAATGTTTTGTTAATTTTTGCTGTTTTATGACCATTGCTCGATTTGCGGGAGAATTTTACACTTGGTATGGGAAACGGAACGATCCTATTGATTTGCTTACCAAAAATCCAAATATTGCTCAAATTTCACCAACACTCGGACTTAGATTGAAAATAATATACCAAACAACTTTGTCGAAGCTGCAACCCACTCTAATGTACCGTATGCGTGATAATGTTTGCACCATTGAGCAATGTCAAAATTGAAAAAAATTCTCAAAAATTTCGTTTTCGAGTTTTTTTTTTATTTATTCAAAGGGAGATGTTTCTCAGAGTCTTAAACTATGTTAATCATCGATCGAGTTTCCACTTACTGCAATTACGGCCTCCACACGCTTCCGGAATGCACGGCAGGTTCTAATAATGTAGTCTGGATCCATTTCTCTCCAGGTACGGGTCAATGTTTGCCTGAGGCTTGCTGTACTCGGGTGGCGTTTAGAACAGGCCTTGGCCTTCATGACGCGCTATATTGAGTAATCCAGCGGATTAAGATCGGGGCTGGATGGAAGATGTTCCTGCAACCACTTCTGAGTGCGGTTCGAGGTGTGGCACGGAGCCCGATCTTGCTGAACTACAACATTTGGCTTCGGACCGTACTGTTCTTTGATCCACGGAAGAACATACTTACTTAAAATCCCGATGTAGACCTCCGTGTTGACCTTGTCACCTTCTGGAATGAACACCGGGTCCTTTTTTTTGCCATCGGAAGCCACCAATCCAAACACCATAACGCTAGCAGGATGCTTGGTCAGATACACGTTCTTGTGATCGTCGGCCACGTCTTTTACCGGAAGAGAACTAATATACCGGTCGGTTCTGGAATTTGATACGGGATCGACGGTAAACATGCTCTCGTCGGTGAACAGGATTACCGGTTTTTTTTCGCTTAAGGAAGTTCAAGATTTTCTTGCATCGTTCGACTCGTAGCTCCCGGATGCGGTTGGTAATCATGTGAGTTTTTTTCCGTGCCCTCGACTTCGCCCCGCAATCTTCCTTTACGATCTTCCGTGCCGTAAAGTCACTGATCCCGTGTTCCTTTGCCATTTTCCTTATTGAACGCACTGGATTCACCCGAATCTTGCTTTTGATAGCAGCGATAACCCTCGGAACCCGAGCTGACCTCGGACGACCTGTTGTCCTTTCTTTTCTCGGTCTAAAACCCTTTTGACGGTCCACCGGGACACTCCCACGGCGACTGAAATGTCTTTTTGCGATATTTGCGCGTGGAACAAATCACGTAACAAAAAATTGAGGTACTATATTAGAAAATTCATCATGCATCCCCTTGGATCCCCCTATGAATTGTATATGTAGCAGTTGGGTATAAGTTGCTGAAAGAAATTACGTTGAGTTTAGCTGCTAATACCTGCTAACCTGCATTAGCAATTACCACCCCGAAAAAAAAAATATTTTCGGCACGTTTTTATTTCTCTCAAAATATTGGGAAAAAAATATCAAAAATCCAAGACAATCAGTTTCTTCCTTAGGTTGTTGAAAAAATTAACATGTAAAAATAATTTTTCTATCTCATCATGAAAAAATATTGGACTCTCAGAAAAACAAAAAAAATTATGTTTTATGGTTTTTTGAGATTACTTTGCGCCATGATAAATTACAAAAAGTATTTTTGTACGTGAATTTTCTTTAAAAAATACGAAAAAATGTGATTTTTTTTAGATTTCTGATATCTTTTCCCAATAATTTTAGAAAAATCGACACTCAATTATTTTTTCGGAGCGGTATGCTTCCCCTTAAAGTTTGTGTTGAAAAATTATAAATACGGATGTAAATCTTTTACATGAAGAGATAGCGATTTGTTTTATTGAACAAAAATGTGCATTTCTAGAGCACTTACAACTTTGTAGAACATTGAACAAAAAATAAAATATTCGAATTAAAAAGTTATGGTAAAAACGTTTTTAAGGGGTTACTACCATTTGTATCCAATTTTCCAAGTTATTTTTTTTTTATCTTATTGTATACCCCCCTTAATCAAGAATGTTCACTACTCAATTAAAGTACTAAAAAAATGACGAAACGTTCTAAAGGACATTAAAATGCTACACTCAATAGTTTCGTCGCAAATAGCCATGTCCCACTATTTTTGATTTCGTCTCACTGTGCGGCGAAGACAATCTTCCACATTTTTCAACCACTCTCCCCTAAAGAGTCTACGTAGCGTATGAACAGCCCCTGACATCAATTTAGTTATTTGATCGAGCAGCGATAAAAATAAGATAGAAATTTTCACGGTGTCGCAAACGATAACGAACGATTGACCGAATCAAATTCAGTGATCTTCCAATCCTGCCTGTCCAGTCCAGGCCAAATAGTATTAAAAAAAAATTAAATTTAAGACTTCTCCGATTTGCATGAAACTTTGCAAAGTTATGTGTTATGGCAAATCGTTCACATTTTTGCAAAAAAATATGCCATTTTGGATCTTGTAATTTTTCTCTGCTTGGCCGTTAAGCAGTTCAGTTCGGTTTGAATTCCGGCTCGCTTTCTCGAGTTTGTTTCGTTCTTCGGTTTGTTTTTGTTCGGTTGCTACTCTGTTATTGCCAGATCAGCTGTAATTACACAGAGAACCAATAGACGATGCTTGGGACTAGCAATCATCCTCAATGTGTAAAAACTGGTGATCTTAAATTAGGCAATACCAGCGCCGGCCGCGTCCGAACACAAGTCAAGAAAGGAATGGGAAGGATTGTGTTGACATGGCACTCGCTTTGATGGAAGCCGAGAACACCTCTGCACTTCCACGAGGAATCACTGGGATGTTGGATAAGAGGGTTGGGTTTGCAGCAGGGTTCGTTTTGGTAAACGATAAGCTGAATTGATGTCCTAACGATCATATAACGCGAAGGAGCTTGGGACTAAACCCACGGTCTTCTGCTCAGTAAGCAAAAACGTTTGCCACTAGGCAGACGAGCACCTTTTTAATCACCGAGTTGCTGTTATTACCATGTAGTCATATTAACAAATAAAACGATTGACGAATCTTGAATGTGGATGGGCCTGAGATTAGACTGATGATGTTCTGCTCAGTAAGCAAAAACGGTTACTCTAAGGCCACCGAGCCCCTCATATCACATAATACCGTTGCTCAAATTTTTGTATCCATTCAAACCCGGAACCAACGACAACAACGAGTTTCGCAAAATACACGATACACAAGCGATTTTACCATAAATCTCTTTGATATGTAAGGACCTGGGACCACACTTTTCTGCTCAGTAAGCAGGCCACTGTAACCGACGATCTTTCAAATCTGAAAACTAAAAACTACGAAAAAGTACTTAGGCCTTCATTAAGTTCCACTTTCCCGCGACGTACAATGTTTCAATTTGTTCTTCACGTATTGTTCAGGCTAGGCCCTTTTCAAAAGTTACGCGAGAAATACGCACAATCGTCGCCTATCTCGCAAAACTGGTTCCAAACGACAACAAAGGCATAAGCAACGATGGATTGTTGAACTTTGCTGGCGCCGGTGGTGTAGTGCACAGCAAAAAAAAAATGTAACATCGATCAACGTAATTCAAGCTGATGTATGAAATAATGATGTAATTGTAATTTATCAGCACACACCCTGGTCAACCACTGTAAACCAATCTGCCGTTCAGCGTTATCGGTTTTTGTTTCTGGATCTTTAGTTGCCTCTGTGATATACTTACTTGCGGCATACTATTTTGGGAGTGTATATGAGTGTATACCATGTACGGTAGCTCATCTCTCATCGTGATGGTGGCACATAGTAGACAAATTAGAGAGAAAACAAGGAGGTATTAGTATTAGTTATATGTAAACAAACAAAACAAAAGAAGAGAAGAGGAAAGAAGAGCAGAAAAATAAAAAGGGG